AAGAAGAAGAAAATTTAAAGAAGAAGAAAAAAAAAAAAGGAAGAAGAAGAAAATGATGATGAGAAGAAGAAGAAAAGAAATGAGGAAGAAAAATAAGGAGAAAAATAAAAAAAATAAAATTGTCGTTGATTACTTATCTGCGCGACGGCGATGACAAGGACGGCGCGGTGCAGCGATGAGGACGAGAGGCATGGTGATGATGACGTGGCGCAACGGCGGCGATCCCGTCGGTGACGATGATGACGGGGCACGATGACGACGATCGCGATGATGACGATGATGACGTGGCACGGCGGCGGCGATCTCGACGATGATGTTGATGATGGCCAGGTGACGACGTCGAAGCAGGGTGGGTCGGGACGTCGAAGCAGGGTGAGTTGGGCGGGTTCGAACCGCTCCGATACAAGTGTAACGAGCGTGAGGCTGAGGGTGAGCCGAGGGAGAGGAGAGGGAGGGAGAAAGTGAGAGCAGACACACACACTCACTCACTCGACACGACTGACTCGGACTGAGGATCGGACGCAGACACAGTGGCAAGGCACAAAGTCGAAGTCTTGGATTCCGAAATGCCGAAACAGCAAGTCACACTGAGTACGAGTACAGCAGCAGGGAACTGGTACGAAACTGGTCCCGTACCGTACGGGGAGCCGGTATAAGTACCGGTGACACGTATGGTACCAGGGGCATTTCTGCAAAGGCCCCAAGGGAAGAACTGAAAAATGCAGTATTTGAAAATGGCGCCCGAATTGCAGCATGGCGCCAGTTGTCCGAAATCCTACGGTACCAAAGGAGGAGTTTGGAAAAAGGGCGCCAGGCCGAAAACAGGATGCAGCTGAAACAACAAAAAGATAGACCAGGGATCGAGCCCTGGCGAAGTCCGTAACAACATCACCAAGTGGAGAAAGGACTGAACTGCAGAAGTGGAACTAGAGCATGCACGTATGTGAAGTTATGGGAGCAACTAGGAAGAACTGACACATTACCCAAACGACACAATTTAAACTAGAACATACACATGTGTGAAGTCATGGAAACTAGGAAGAACCCGCACATCACCAAGTGGAAAAAGGACTGAACTACGCAAGTTAGACTAGAGCATACATATGTATGAAGCTATGGAAGCAACTAGAAAGAACCCGCACATCACCAATTGAAAAAAAGATTGAACTGCACAAGTGAATCTCGAGCACAAATGTGTGTGAAACTATGAAAGCAATTCGGAAGAGCCGACACATTACCAAGTGGAGAAGGGACTGAACTGCTCAAATGAAACTAGAGCATACACATGTGTGAAACTATGGAAGCAACTAGGAAGAACCGGTTCATCACCAAGTGGAGAAAGGACAAAACTACATAAGTGGAAGCAGAGCATGCACATGTGTGAAGCTATGCGAGCAACTAGGAAGAACCAGCACATCACCAATTGAAAAAAACACTGAACTGCACAAGTGAAACTAGAGCATACACATGTGTCAAGCTATCAAAATGACAAGGAAGAACCGACATTTCACCAAGTGGATAAAGGACTGAACTGCACAAGTGAAACTAGAGCATACACATGTGTGAAGCTATGTAAACGACTAGGAAGAACCGACATTTCACCAAGTGGATAAAGGACTGAACTGCACAAGTTAGACTAGAGCGTACACATGCATAAAGCTATGGAAGCAACTAGGAAGAACCGTCACATCACCAATTAAAGAAAAGACTGAACTGCACAAGTAACACTATAGCATACACATTTGTGAAGCTATGAAAGCAATAGGAAGAGCCGACACATCACCAAGTGGAGAAACGACTGAACTGCATAAGTGAGACTAGATCATACACATGTGTGAAGTTATTGAAGCAACTCGGAAGAACCAACAAATCACCATGTGGAGATGGACTGAATTGCTATGAAACACCCGCGGACGCATCCGAGGGGTCGACCTCGGAGAGCGGCCGTATATACGGCCGCGTCTGCGACCGACCTCGTCCACGCTGCGAACGTGAATTTTTCGTATTTTTCCTCAATTAAATCATAGGTAAAAAAATAAAATAAAAAATGTGGTTGTAAGGATTTTTAATCCCTATAGCCCCATACTTTGTTTTTTGGAAACAGATAAGTTTTTATAATTAAAAAAAATAAAAATAAAAAAAGGTGAAAAAAAAAATTGAAAATTAAATTAAAAAAAAAAATCCTCTTTTTTTTCTTGTTTTTTGCTGACATTTCTTTGTATTGTTCGTTTTTACATTTTTTTTTTTCTTTTGTCTTAAGGAAACAATCAAGAAATGAAAAAAATATATATGTTTTTTTTTTTTCGGGGTCTTTTAATATTTGTGTGTGAACGTGTGTGTGTGTGTGTGTGTGTGTGTATGTGTGTGTGTGTGTATGAGTGTGTGTGTGTGTGTGTGTGTGTGTGTGTGTGTGTGTGTGTGTGTGTGTGTGTGTGTGTGTGTGTGTGTGTGTGTAGTGAGATG